ATAAGGAAAACCTACTAGCTCAATTTCTGGCATTTTTGAAGAAACGAAATCAAGTTAATAGCACCCCATGGTCTCAATGTAACAGGAAAGCGAAGGGGTTGCTAAAACCCACCTCCTTTGATAACCTCCAAGTAGATGACCAACTGGTTTGATTTGCCTGGGACTAAGGGTTATCAGGATGTGGGACATTTAGTGTTAAAACCAGAGCAGTCCTGGCCCAGTACCGACAGCTGGCCCTCTTCACCCCTCCAGTTCTTTTAAAAATGTGTGGAGTATCCACATTGCTTTATCCTGGGACTTTTCTGCTTGCATGTAAGGCTCTCCAGGAAGTCACAAAGCTGCACAATGGCAGGGCTGGAGGAATCAGCCACGTCTCCAGGGCATCCACCTCTTGCATTAGAGGTGTCTTCAACTCTTAACTTTAGGTGTCCAGGCTGCCACCAGGTAGCTAACAAAGAACTATCCTGGGTGACTTTTGTCTTTGGTACTCTGTGTTTTCCCTGTTGACATCCTCAGCTCCTACCGCCACAGGTCTTGCACTGTATTCCCTGTGGCTCATGCCCGTGGACACTCACTACAGGGACTTCCTCTCAGCACACTGTTAACTAATTGACAAAAATGCCAGCTATTGGCTGGGCACGGTGGCTCACGCCTGTAATCCTACCAATTTGGGAGGCTGAGGCGGGCAGATCACCTGAGGTCAGGAGTTTGAGACCAGTCTTGCCAACATGGCGAAATACTGTTTCTACTAAAAATACAAAAATTAGCCAGGCGTGGTGGCGGGTGCCTATAACCCCAGCTACTTGGAAGGCTGAGGCAGGAGAATTGCTTGAACCCAGGGGGCTGAGGATTCAGTGAGCCGAGATCGCGCCACTTCACTCCAGCTTGGGCAAGAGTGAAACTCTGTCTCAAAAAAAAAAAAAAAAAAAGGCAGTTATTGAAGCTCAAAGTGTGACCTCTTCCAAGAGTGTTGAGGTTTTAAAAGGGCATTCTTAGACCTCAAAAATCTTTCAAAGACACAAAGCTAGACAGTAAAAATTGTTAGCTCTGTGAAAACCAATGAGCAAAGCACTTAATAATAGCAATAGTTCTTTCTTACTGTGAACCATGTGTCAGGCATCATGCTAAATATTTCACAAACATTAATTCATACAGCAGCCCTGTGTGGTAGGTACTGAATCAAGTCCATTTCACAGCTAGAGACGCTGAGGCTGAGTTTGGTAATGGTCAGAGCTTGATTTGAACCCAATGCCGTGCTTATATACCTCCAAAGTCAGGCTGTTTTTTACTTCACGATGAATAGTTTTTTTTTCTGATATCACACACACATACGCACACACACACTAAAACATATAAGGAGATAAGACAATCCTTCTAACACCGGTGAAACCCCGTCTCCTACTAAAAAATACAACACATTCAGTCGGGCATGGTGGCATGCATCCTGTATCCAGGCTACTTGGGAGGCTGTATGCGGCAAGAGAATCACTGGAACTTGCGTAACGGAGGTTGTCAGTGAGCTGAGATGCACCACTGCACTACAGCCCTGTGGCAACGTGGAGACTTCTGTCCTCAAAAAAAAAAAAAAAAGTTACAAAGAGAGAGGACTTGATCTAGCTGCAAACTAAAGAGACCCCATCATTAAAACCTAAACATGTGATGGCCCGGTA